CCCCAAAACCCCAAAACCCCAAAACCCCATTATGACTTATTTCTTAACATTTTTGTGATAATATAATTTGATTTTATGGAGAATTTTGTATCAGAATACTTTTTAATAGGTCTTTCAACCTTCCATAACCTTTTCACTCGAGAATAAGATAGAGTAAGACTTTCAGATCCTAACACGACCTCTTTCCTGTATAACTTCACAAGAGATTTAAATGCTTCAATGCTAGAAATCGATTAATTCTATAAGAATTTCAACTACTGGGGCTATCCATCAGATGCATATGCAGTTCACTTCGTTAAAGAAAAACCTGGGTTTAGCTTCTATCTTTAATTTCTTATCACTTCAATGATTATCTTGTTTGTGCTTATGGGATTCATCCTACTTTACTATATAGTCTTCGAAGATACCAGGAAAAGGTAGAGTATAGAATATATGCAAACTCTAGATCTAATATAGAAAAAGCATGAATAGATGAGATAAATGGCAGAGGCTCCACCCGCTGAAATGCCTCTAGGCAAGGGAAGCCAAAATGATAAGAAAAATAATTGAATAATATAAATATTTGTTAAATTAGTTTAAGCCATAATTATTTAAAAGCTTAATGTCTTGGTCAGCTTTAATTTCAAAGCATAGGCAGTCTATACTAAGGTCAATAGTCACAACCTCTACTATATATACCTTTGATAAATACTAGACAAATATTCAATAGACTAATCAATCTTTATGCATTGACAGATATAGATAGTATTTGAATAATGCAGAATAAGTAAAATGGATTAAAAGCTTAGCTTTTACAAGTAATATACATATGCTTAGCACTTAGTAGTGTGAGGCTGAGCAATAAATTAATTAAAATATTGAGGGAACAGATTTAAACTTAAATATTGATAAAAATATGGAAAAAACTTAGTAAGATCCGATCAAGCTACTCATTGACTGGGTTCAAGCGTTTGGAGGAACTCACAATGTAGTAGTTAAAGAGAATGAGAGTGGGGTCAGAGGTCTTTATGCAGGCAAGTCATTTAACTTACCAGGAATGCCTAAATCTGAGGAACACTAAACTCTAGTGAAGATTCCCAATCAACTGATGATATCTTCATATCATGTTAAGAATTAATACTTCAATGAGCAGAAATAGGTCAAGTATGCACAGATATTTGACCTCATTCCAGAGATATTTGATCCAAAATATAAGTACAAGCCAAATTCTAGTGTAAAAGAAAGAATAGATAATGAGTATGGAGAGTACTATCAATTGAGCTTCTTTTTAATAAATGAAAGATTAAAGGGGAAAAGTTCATTCTGGTATCCATTCATCAACTATCTTCCAGCAGAAATACAAACTTTGTATAACTATCCTGACAACACTCCAATACATGAAGGGGCCTCAACTTCCTTAATAGACGAAATATAGCTAAAAGAAGATGATATAATGAGCAAGATAGTTTATGATAGACAAGTGCATCAAGACAATAAGAATAGATTTTTAAATTATCTTAGGCGCAATTAAGAGAGGCTTAGAGAGATGCAGGGTCATTTATCTGATGAAAATGGAAATCAAGTAGATATTGTTGATCTAATAGATGATGAGATGTTTGACTGGGCTTGGATGAATGTAGGGACAAGATGTTTCGGAACATATCATGTGCCAGGCGACATAGCTATGGTCCCACTTCTTGATTTAATGAATCATAGTATTGATGATGAAAAGCTAGGATACTTTGTCTATCCAATTGCTTTGAATATCAAGATGTTAGAGCGAAGTGATACTGACAAAATTAATAAGGAACTAGAGCAGGATTATCTGGCAGAGATTCCGAATCATGACGACTATGACGCCACTCTGGAATGGGAAAGCTAAGACTTTGACTAGCATTGGGATGATTATGGAGATAGATACTATAACTACCTACCAAAGGAGAAAGTAGAGAAGTACAAGGTCATAGACAGCGACGATGAGGAAGAGTAAGATGAGGATAAGTATATTTAGCTTGATCCACTTGAAAAAATCTGGGATTTAAATGATAATAAGATATTCTTTGGAAAGAGACTGTTGTCCAAAGATAGTACCGAGATTAAGGAAGGAGAAGAACTAAATCTCTGTTATGGGGAGAGAGCAAACTCGTTCCTTATTATAGAGTATGGGTTTACTCTGCCAAACAATAGGTATGATTTTGTGAGACCAGAGCTCATCACAATAGATTCAGTAGTTAATTTGATGAATGAAGTACACACTGATCATTAGCTTTACCACACTAATCTGAATGAGTTTATTATCAGAGACACCTTAAGAAATAAGTACAAGTTAAAGGACAAGATTAGAGTAGATATCAAGCTGAGCGGTCTGCACAGAGATCTGCTTCGTTACTTGAGGTGCTTCTTCAGCCCTAACTACAAGACAAACAAGCTGAGTCCACATCAAGAAGTCCAGACACTTGAACTGTACAAAACTATGATGCAGAACAGACTCGACAAGTATCCTTCTTCAATCATGGAGGATAGACTATTACTAGCTAAGGTACAAGATAAAACCAACGCTGAGGTAAAATATCACTGGATGTATGAGTATGTGCTAATTTACAGAATCGGCTAAAAGGAGATTCTGAATAGATAGATCTAGATTATAAATGAGGTTCAAGAGGCCATAATGCAGAATAAGGAAGGTGATTTTAAGCAGTTAGGTGATAAGTTAAAAAGAGTTTGCAGTTCAAATACAATGTTAGATTATATAGATGAGCTAAAGGATGCTGTTGATTTCCTGATTCCACAGTGAATGAATTATAGTATATCCTTTAATTTAATGACATCTTAAAACATTTAACACTAATTTGATTCTCTCCTCAGTATAATATTAGTGTTTTAAATTCAAAATTTAGTAATTAATTCAAATATCTGATTAAATGAGCAACAGTGTATTGTCGCAGACCTCTAAAATTAATCTCAAGAATTTAGATCGGCATTCTGATTTAAGTGATATGGGTATTAAGAAGTAGTATTCAACTCCTAAAAGGTCTGAACTTAATGATGGCGCTAGTCGCTATGACTAATCACCCAAGACTTTTGAACAAATCAAAACTAGCATCAAACATGAGATTCAGCTCAGAAAGGAGAAAAATGAAGCCAATCAGCAACTAGCCTAATTCAAGAAGTTACTTCAGAAGCAGGACTTGAATGATTCACCTCACATAGCAAAAGACAAAATTGCTTTGCTCCCCAACAGCATATCTGAGGACTTATCAGAGGCGGTACTCTATGCTTATTTTGCAGTGAGATACTACGATGATCAAATATTTAAAGTGATTCTAACAAAATGCAATAGATTCTAATCTGATCGCACTCTTTACTAAATAATGGGCAAGGAGAGATCATTCCAGAGTCTCACAATAGAAAGCAGTTACTCTAGATACAGACTGAACTAAGTAGCATTTGAAGTGTCACTGGAGAAGGACTACCTCGATATTGCTTTTCACTTCATTGAAACTGGCTAAGTCTTGATTACATGGGATATGGTTAGGCAAATGATTAATAGAAGATAAGAATACCTTGTCAAGTAGTGCATCAAATATGGCTGCAAATTTGATCCAGGCTCAGCAAGTCTCAAGAAGATAGTATTTGCGGGTAGGACAGCTGCTCCCCTTGAGGACAGAACCATCAAACTAGTTGATTTTATTCAGGTAATGCTCGAACTTAAATGGAAGAGTAAGGATATCAGGGAGGTGCTGGTAAACTACTCGAAAAAGGGAAAGATCGACTCAGTCGACTAAAGAGAACTGTTCTTGATGTTCGCAGTAAAAAGGAAGATCAAGCTGATGTCCTTCCTGATTAATGCGGAGGAATTCATGATGGAGATTCAGGAAGATAACTTCATTGACGTGATAGAGAATGATGCCTATGATATGGGGGTGCTGCTTTACAGAGAATACTTTTTGTAGATCAACTCACAGCATGAAAAGATAGTCAGTTTACTAGTAAATGCCTTTACAAAGACTAATGGTCTTTTGGAAGCTAAGTGCTTCCTTCTTACGCGATTTATCAATAAGATGAACTTTGAATAAGCTAATAAATTTCTAGAGGCAGTAGATCAAAGAGTAAGTGACTCAAGCAAGGGTAATATTCTGATTCTCACCTTGAATGCAATCAAAGCAACTTGTCTATTAATAGAGCTTATTGAGAAAGTTAAGTCTCAATTTGGTTTCCTGAGTCGTAGAGTATTTGAAGTTAGATAAAAACTAATCAAAATAGCCACAGCCTATATGAATGACATCTAGTCTGAGGAGGAGATGAGGTTCATCCTGTTGGAAAAAGATCTCGATGAGAGAGATTCACTCAATATTATTTATGATTGTGAGATCATAGAATTACTTAAGAACCCATTTTCCTAGAACATAGTGCAGTAGATTTGGTCCAGCTAGTACAATAATTCCCATTCGCTTTTCTCAGTGTCATCTCTCCACAAGATGCTTTTCAATTACAATCACTGTCTGTATGATGAAGAGGAAAATCTGAGATTTTACAAGGCTAGAGATCTGAGCAAATTTGGATGCCATGGATATTAATTCCAAGTTTGGAGATATTCAGGGGAATCCAGACATATGGTGACTTTTATAGCTAATTTGATATTCACAATACTATTTCATCTACTTATCGTTGGACATCTCACCGATGTGCTAGATATGATAGATAGTGATTCAACCATCTAATATTGGATAAGAAAAAACAGCGAGAGTTTCAGTACAACTTCTTAGTAGGCTATCGATACTAAACTAGCCAGATAATAGATTTTAGACTACTGGTATGTGAAGGTAGCTGATATGCAAGTAAGAAGTCAAGAAATATTATATGTGATGCATCTCTCTTGGATGATCCTACTTTAGCATGGCTATAATGTAGTCTTCGCTACTAAAAATAAGAGATTCACTCATTTGGTAAACTTTGGTAACTTCCTAGACTTTTCTATGTTTTTGATAACTTTACTTTACAGTTTCTCTTACTATAAAGGCTGGAGATATGACACTTGGCTTTAAATTCTAAGCCCTAAAGAGTTAGGTAAAATCTATTGGGAAAACTACATGAGAAGTCCAATTAATGAAAACGCAGTCTTAATATCATTTATGATTGTGTTGTGGCTAAAAGTTGCTTATCAATTCAAACTTATAAGCAGGACTGGTGGTATATATGCCATTATGATCAAACTTTTCAACTAGATGCTTATCTATGCCGTCTTTTACTTTGCAGTTCTCTTTATTTTCTCAGTCATAGGAGTGGTTTTGTTCAATGATATGCAGGAGTTCAGAGCATTACACACTACACTATTTACAATGTTTAAGGCAACTATCTAGGACTATGACGTTGATAAGATGAAAGATGCTCGAGTTGGGGCATTCTTAGGCTACCTCTACTATCTTTCATTCCTAATCCTTAATATAATTCTGATAATCAACTTAATCGTAGCTAGATTGGCACATTCTTATAAGATCTATAATAAAGACAGAGATATATTAAAGCTATTAGCAACTCTCAGTGTAAGAGAAGTATCCGAGGCAGATGATAAGTATAGTGCAGTAATATCTGCTCCCTTTCCGCTCAACGTTTTAAACCTCACAGCAGGAACGATTGTCATCTCCTTGAAATCCCCTTAAGCAAATATCGCACTTCTAAATGTATACTACTTACCGATTTCATTAGTATGCCTTTCACTGTTTCTAGTCTATTAGATAGTCATTCTGCCTTTTTGCTACTTTAAGATAATCGGTCATAAATTTGCATTAATGGTTAAATCTCCTCAGGGCTAGGGAGCAAGAAGCACTCTAGACAGAGCAGGATAAGCTTTGTTCTTCATGATATTTGGGTTAATCCTTTTAGGTCTGAACATGATAGTTGATATCTATTGGTTCACATTGCACTTATATAAGATGGATCTAGACAAGAGTCATCTCTAAGTGCAGCAAACAACTAACTTGAACAGAAGGACATACAAAAAGATGATCAAATATTTTGAGCAAAAGAATGAATAGCTAGTGCCACAGAAAAGAGTGGCTGAGGATTTAAGAGAATACCTCGATGTCATGGAAGGTGTTAGATGCCTTGTGTTTGGCAGGCCAAAGTAAATACCTTCTGATAAGGTTGGATTATACATCACTTATGCTAAAAAATATCTATAATAAGCACAGGGGAAGAAGTCTGTTGGATTTGAACTGATGGCTGAAGGTCTTGAGACTCATGAAGATGTAGTTGAATAGGTAGTCAAGGAATACTAAGTTGTTAAGGAGGTGTTGTTGAATAACTCAATCCCAGTTGACATCAGAGAAATCTAGCAGAATAGTGTGAAGAGAAAGGGTTGGGGAAAGAAGCTACTATTTGATAAGAAAACATTCCATGCCTTACTATTAGACTTAGAGAGAATGAGAACTGTTCTAAATCTTAAGAAAAGTTTTTACATCTTTCATATACCATACGAGGGCAAGCCAGCCTAGCTGACTAACTGGCATTTGAAGGTCGAGCATCGAATGGCTTAGACTTTAAAGTTCCTGAGCACCTCTAGACTTCTTAGGATTATTGAGTATGATCCAATCTATCACATTAAGATGGAGAACATTAATCTAGCTATGAGTGAAAAGAAGAATATTTAGGGTAGTCTTAACTTAAACCAAATCAAAATTCAAGTGCCATATCAGTTCAAGTCAGAAAAAAAGGATGAGGTAAGACAGGAGAACATACATTCAAACATGTAATTCATGCTGAACAAATACTAGAACTCAGCTAGATAGATCAAGGAAATCACAGATATTCTCAAGAGGCTCAATGCCAGTAACAATATGCTGTCAACCCAGCAAAAAACTATTTTGGAAAAAGGAGTAGTTCTCTAGGAAGTTTTATCGCCGTAGGAAGATAAGTAATACTTTGATAAGGAAAATATGATGCCTTACAATCAAGCCTAGATATCTAACTATGCTTCTAGATAGTAAGACAGCAGTCTTGTGAAGAAAGAGGTCAAAGATATTAACGGATATATGAAGGAAGCAAAGCGTCTTTCATTCTTTGATCAGGACTTTAGTGGGGATTCAAAGTCTATCATTAATAATATGAACAGTAGTAATCTGTAAAAGTAAGTAAACTACATTTCCCCTTCTAAATTTGGAGTGCTTCACTCTGAAGAAAAAGAGCAGATAAAAGATAAAAATAATGGAAATATGCATGTGCATTACAGTGAACGATCAGAGACAGAAGCTCAAGTTACAGAGGAAGATGAATCTGATGGCAAAAATTTTGGCAAAGAAGAGATTAACAATATTAAGAGGAAGAAGTGATATTGAATATAGTTGGAAGATATACTTGAATAATTTTTAATTTTAATAATTTCATTGATTTAATCAAGTTTTTATTCAAATGGGGTTTTGGGGTTTTGGGGTTTTGGGG